TATTTAATTTTATTTTATTTTATTTTATTTTATTTTATTTTATTTTATTTTATTTTTCACAAGTAAATTTTGTAAATGTTGACGTGTTTTTGTTTTTTTGTTTTTGGTATGTAAAGAAATAGGGTCAGTAATACAGTCAGTAAAATGAAAAGATGTTATTCTTATCCTATAATGAAATACTTATGTGACAAATCATTCAAACTTCAAAGATAAAAGTTCATAGTTTATGTAATGCTCCGTGTAGTTAGTGTTTTTTCGATCAGTGTGTTGAAGGAGTGGAATCCTGGATTCATCACGGCCTTCATAAAATATATTAATTATCCTTTTGCATGATTATTGATCAAGCTATTAATTAGTATTTAACCTCATAGATTGTTAGTTGATTGAATAAAATTATTATTTACCATACACCAGTGAGTAGACATTGAAAATGTGTGTATTTACAGTAATATCTTTCTCTCCCTTTAGTGAGAAGTTGGAATGTGTAACTAGGTTTTTTATATATGCTGACTTTTTATTCTCTCCATTTAATTTTCCTCTGCTGTATTGATTAGTCATTCTGTTCGCCTGCCATTCTGTTAATTAACTCATTATAGTCCTTGTGTTCCTGAGTTCCTTGTTCCTGTCTCCGTCAATGTGAAGGTGTTGTGTTCTCTGGTTTAATGAGTGAGTTTTGAATGAAAGACTCTTCTGATTGTATCTTTGTGCGCTACTTAAACTGTGCAACATTAACTAAGATTAATAAATGCTGTGGAAGTATTGTACATGTTAACTAAAATAGTTATTAACACGAGTAAGGTATACAAATATGTAATATCATTTAATTATCTTGGTATTTGACATGGTTCAAAATAGAGACCAAACTTATTGCTATAATTAAAGGCATTTTTTTTTAGGTATTAACAGTCTGAATATGACAGTGATATGGAGAGTGTCCGTAAAAGAGACTTAGATGTGTGATTCAGGTCCATGTACACACACAAAACTCTAGACACCATTACAATTATGGAAGCTCAGTAACCTTGGAACAACACGAACATTATGAATGTCCTCTTTTTAAAGTTAAAGCCTTAAATCAAGCATTATTAAAAAGACTACTCTTATCTACATTGTTTCACTTAAAAATTAGATGAAGGCCTTTAGTTGCTAGGTAGAATTGAGTGTAACAGGCTGTGAATCAAATCATTTGCTGTATTTGGTAACTAGTTTTGGTAATTAGTGTGAGCAGGAATGTTTGGGCGATTTATCAATGAATTAGTGGTTTTAATAAAAGTACTAAGAATTTGACAATGGCAAGTCACTGATTACAGCTAAATAAATGCATATAAATTACTATATATTCATTTACTTATGAATCTACAGCAGCACACAGCTATGGGTTTTTGTTTTAAAGTAAAAAAATACTTGCTGTAATTTTTTTTAAAGGCCATATCGGGAAATAGAGAGAGCTGGATCCGCCACAGCCACAGTTCTCATCTATCATTTTCTTTGGAATATACTTTCACAAAAGAGTGACCCTTAAGAGCTCTTTAAACGCTAAATGATATTTTTCTGGTGTCATATATCTGAGCAGCTCAACACTCTTGCTTCCGTCTTGTGTTCATTGTGAATATATCACGACATTTCACCAACAACATTTCTACAAATTCTGCACGCCTGCAGTGGTGAATATAGTCCTTTTGATTCTGAATAATATTTCATATCAACTTTGGGAAGGAATCATGCATTTTAACATCATAGATAAGATTCTGTTGAATTCGAAGCAAAAGTTAATTAATAGATTCTGATGAAATATGGATACTGTTTTGACAACAGAAAGACACATTCACCACTTGCCCCTTTTTGTGAAGTTTATTTATTTTTAAAGAATCAAAATAAGATTACAATGTTTTGAAGGCAACCAATATACAAAAATATCCACGTAACTTAATTTAGATTTAGTAACCTCAAATCAAGGAAAATATCTATAGTTTACTGTACTGTACAGATGTTCATGTCAAAGTTAATTAGTACAGTATCTTAAACATTACAAGAATCGATATTATTCTGTAGTTCAACTTATCTAAATTATGTAAAACAAACAACAACAAAAAAGTATACAAACAGAAAAAGCCCAATAATCCCATTCAAGAAATAAAATATGAAGCCTACATATTGTCTAATTTCATTGATGGAATAGTCCAGTTCCACAATTCATCCAGAGTTAGTTATTTTAAGTTTTCCATGACTTGTTAGCCTTCCCCTGATTTATTTCATATTTTATTTCCCACAGAAATAGTCTCATCTCATGTGACTGCTATAATATACTGTGACTGACTATAAACACATTCACAAGTTTCTCTTTTTTCACAGTCAGTACTGATATCACACATCCTACAGATTAATCCAACTTGCAAATCAATTATTTGCATTCTTGGTTTTCTCTGGTTTTGTCACCAAAGAGAAATATATAAATTTTACAATTTAGTTCTGAGATCAACGTGTCATCTTAAAATGAACAAGTTCAAACAATTAAAGAAAAACAGAAGATGAGCATAAAGTGTGATGAAACAAAAACTTTGCAGATGTAATTAATGTAGAACCCTAATATAAATCAATCCTGTCACTGAAATCTATGATCCTGTGTGTGTGTGTGAGAGAAAGTGTGTGTTTGTGTGTTATAAGCACGATGGACAGCAGGATAAGCATCATTTTTACTTCATCTCTTGCACTCATCTGGTCTCCTAAAATGGCAAAAACATATTACATTTAATTAATTTCACATGACTGAAACAGTTGCACTAATGAATAATAATAATACACTTACATCTTTATGCTTTTGGATCTGAATGAGCTGAGCTGTTTGAACCATCATCAGATGCTAGAATAGAAAACACAAATTACAATTATCATGAAAGTACAGCTACACCACACAGTTGCACAATTTCTTTTTTATTAGATCTATTGAAAGAAAGATATTGTAAAACTATGCATATATTTCGACTTACTCTTTGATTTTACATTACCAACAATGTAGGAATATAAACATATTATTATTAACCATATCATGAATGGCAGAGCCCATCTGTTATTAATAAATATCAGATGGAGATTATAAAAAACTTACCATTGACAGGTTTAAAGCCTGAAAAACAGAAATCCACAAAGATGAAATATTAGCACACAAATGTGTAAAACATACAGTGTAGTCAATAGTGATAATAACAATATCTGAGTCTCTCTCACCTTTCTTTTTCTGGTAGACCTTATACCCAGCAACACCAGCGACAATCAACAGGAGGACACCAGCAACAGCACCAAGAATGATGCCGATGGGGACAGAAGCTGAAGAATCAAACGAAAACATCAGGTTATTAAAGACTCTGACAATCTTAGAAACTGGTACAGGTTTCAGATTTCAGCAGATACAAAAAACAACATCGATGACTGTGATATCTGCAGTACATTAGCACAGACTAATCAGAGACTGGCGATAGCAAATGATTTCCATTAAAGGGGTCATATGATGCGATTTCAAGTTTTCCTTTCTCTTTGGAGTGTTACAAGCTGATTGTGCATAGATAAGATCCCTGAAGTTGCAAAGACTAAAGTCTTATTTTATGGAGGACTGTTTCCTGATCCTGGTAGAGACTACAATGCCGGCTGTTCTGCCTCACAGACTGTAAGTAAGTTTTTTATATTTAAAGGATTTGCCACTGACGATTCAAACGTGAGTTTTGGGCAGTGTAGAGTAGCGCTTGTTGTTTGTCATTTCTCCGATCACAAATGCAGACATGGTTTTATGTTTACGCGGCGTGATGCAACGAACG